AAAGAGAGAAATAGAAGAAGATCTTAGAAGATGGAAAAATATACCCTTTTCTTGTTCTTTTTAAAACCCTTATTTACTTTCCGCTTTTTCCTTCACTAGCTCTCCATTTTTTCTCCTCAAGATTTGTTCTTCTTCATCCTTCTCCTCAGTTTCATATTTTGCATTTTCTTTCATCCTTTACTCAACCTTTCATTTCTCCCCTTTTCCCTTCCCTCCTCCCTTGGTTGCTATGTAGTAGATGAGTCACTCTCAGGTGGGAGGAAACTCTAAGGCTCCATAAAAGCTGGCGAGAAGAGACAGAGTTCTCACTTCTAAACCAGCCATAAGGAAAAATGGAGCAAGCAAAACTCTTCACTGAAACATCCAACAAAGTAAGTGTTGGTTTGCTTTTCAAATGTAGCTTCATTAATCTTCTTGTCATTAGATGTACTTTAGGCTGTTAAAGATACCATGTGAATATATATACACCATGCTTTACACAGAGGAAGTATTCCTGGTCATTTGTAAATTGATTTTTCAAAAACAAATTCATAATTGTGATACAGTAAGAACTCTTATCATTTAAAAAACAATTAATCCTTCTGTAAAGTAGAACAAAATCTTTCTAATGCTAAAAGAATCTGTCAAATACAGCCACCTACTAATGTAGAAAAATCAATAGATAACTATCAATGTTTGAGCTGTGTAGAGATTTTAAAATAAAAATGCAATAAATGAATAAAGGTTATAAGGCACAAGAACTATGAAGATAGAATAAAATATTCTGCATGATGTTTTATGGAAATGACCATAAAGAAACAAAATTAACATTATTTCTTTTCCTATTTCCAATATAATAGTTCTCTTTTCTTATAATAATCTTTTCACAATAAATTCCAGTTTTCTCTATTTTTTATTAGTTGCTCAAAACATTACAATGATCCAGTTTTCTCTATTTTAAATAGATGATTATTATTAGAAATTACAATGTAGAAATCTAGATTTAGAAAACTGAACTGGGATCCATAAACCAGTTGGGCAACATTAATATCTCATGACATTTGGAATACAGATGAGAAATTCCCTAAGTATCATTCAGATAACTGGAATAAAACAATTTTGAGACAAAGACTACATATCTCTATATGTATATAAAGATATAGATATATACACATATATAATCATATAGATATAGATATTGTCTATAGAGATATAGATATGCATATATAAATATAGATATATATGTGTGTATATATATAAATCATTTGTCTCCCAATTTATATTATTCATGTATAAAAATATACATGTGATTATTTTCAATGAATGAAGTCTATTACCTATATTTCAAAGTGATAAAGCAGAATGACAATTCAGTATTGTAAGTGGGAATGTAACTAAATGTCTCACTCAATTTTAGATTAGTAGGAATAAGACCACTTTGTCACTTTATCTTTATATACATAGGTTATCACATGCCGGGCAGCCATTGCCTGGACAACAAATGCCCCCCTGTCTATTGAGAAAGTTGAAGTTGATCCACCAAAAGCTGGTGAAGTTCGAATTAAGGTAAATATAAATGAGACTTTCAGTAGGCATGAATGCAGATGTGTGTTTATAATTATTTTTCATTTTAGGAGAAAAAAATGACACTTTGTATTTAAAGAAAATCAGGAATTCCTATGATTTACACCAGCTCTATATTACTGTATTTAATAGTAAGATCATTGCATTGTGTGAAAATGTCAGAAACATAAGGTACATAAATATTGAAATGTCACTAAATATTTTAAATATATTATTGTTTTTAAATTTTGAAAATCTACATGAGCAATTGTTGAATCATAAATCTCTTTTATTCACAATTATAAAGGTATTCTGATTATAACTGCTGTGGTTTGATTGCCCCTTCCAAAACTCATGTTGAAATTTAATTGCCAATTTAAGGGTATTGGGAGGTGATACCTTTAAAAGAAAATTAGATCACGGAGCTATCATCTCATGAATGGATCCAGACTATTGTTGTGGGAGTTGGTTAGTTATCATGGAAGTAGGCTCCTGATAAAAGGGTAAAATCAGCACCCACACCTCTCTCTCTGTTTCACACATGCTCACTTAGCCCTCTGCCATATTAAGACACAGAAGGGAGGCCCTTGTGGGGTGCCAGATTCCATACTGTTAGATCCAGCCTCCACAACTGTGAGCCAAAAAGAATTCTGTGATTTACAAGTTACGCAATCTGTGACATTCTGGTGTAGCAGCAGGAAATTGGAGTAAGATAACAACAAGCAGATTCTCTACTCCCAGTGGAATGGATGAGAAAACTGAGAACCCTTCCCCAACCCATCTCCTACCCATGGAGTCTCCACTCTAGATGCATCATTTCTAGGATACCTGACCCAAATCACCCACCTTCCTCCCCAGCGCTCACTAGTAAGGAAGAAGATCACACCAGGCAGGGCAAGATGAGAACTATATGAACATACTCAGGCTATAATGGAATAGTAGTTCAAACAAGCATTATTCTCCCAGTTCTGGAGGCTGGAAGTCTAGAAGATCAGGGTGCCAGCATGGTTGAGCTGTGGTGATGACTCTGGCTCACAATGACTATCTCTTTGCCATGTCCTAGCAAGGTAGAGAAAACAAGCAAGCTGTCTGGTTTCTTTTTATAAAGATAGTAATCTCACAAGGGGTGTCCTATCCTCGTGACTTCATCCAAACTTAATTACCTCCCACCAAAATATCCATCTCCAAATACTTCATCACATGGGGGTTAGGGCTTCAATATGAGTATGAATTGGACCCAACTCAGTCCCTTGCAAGAATTTACCAACTCATAGGGCAAAGGTGTCATTTTAGGAAATAAGTCATTGCCTTCACCCCCAACTTTGTTGCATTAATGTAGAAATTTTAACCACAGAAATAGGCATGAAAGATTCATAATTCTGCAGCCCTGCTAAGGGGGCTAACTTTATTTGGAAAAGAGTATGAAAAGACTCATGTCTGAAGGGATTGTCAAAAACATTAGAGATTGTCTTAGTGTGTTTTCTGTTGCTATAACAAAATACCTTAAACTGGATACTTTATTTTTAAGAAGAGACATATTTAACTCACAGTTTCAGAGGTCAAAGAGCATGGTGCTAACATGATTAGTTTCTAGTGATTAGTTTTTGGTGAGGACAACATGCTGTGTTACAACATGGCAGAGAAATAGAAGGAGAAATTCTCTCAATAACTAATCCAGTCCAGCTAGACCTAACTCGTTCCTATGAGACTATAAGTTATTAGTTATTGAGAAACACATTAATCGATTCATGAGTTTAGTGTCAACATTACCTAATCACCTCACAATAGAACCCACCACTTAAAATTATCACCACTGTTTTAGTAAGCTCTTTCCTGCTGTGACCAAAGACTTGACAAGAACAACTTTAGAGGAGGAAAAGTTTACTTGACTCATGGTTTCAGAGGTCTTAGTCCTTAAGACAGCCAACTCCATTACTCTGTACCTGAGGGGAGACAAAACATCATGGCAGAAGGGTGTGACAGGGGAAAGCATCTGGGAACAGACCTACATAGCTACAGGAAGCAGAGAGAGAACTCTGCTCAAAAAGGACAAAAAATATATCCAAAAGCGCACCCACAGGGACCCACCTTCTCCAACCACACCCTACCTGCCTACAGTTACCACCCATTTATCTCTATCAGAGAATTAATTCACTGATTATGGTAGAATGCTCATAGCCCAATCAATTCACCTCCAGACTTTCTTGCTTTGTCTCACACATGAGCTTTTGAGGACATCTCCTATCTAAACCATAACAACCACCTCTCAATACTATTATATTGAGGACCAAGCTTCAAGCACATGAACCTCAAGCTACAAAACATATCCAAATCATAGTAGAGATCTTAGTGATGAGCAATTAAGAAGACTGAAAGCTCCATGAAACTGGTAGCAGCAGTTTCATGGAGCTTTCAGAGCGCCACCCAAGGATACTATTAAAAGGAGTCGACTAAGATCATGTTCCTCTTTGGGGGTCCAAAAGACTATGGATAAGCACTAGGTGGCTTTCCCTCAGGAGCAACTAAAATGGGCACTTGAAAACTGCTAATTATTACTAACCATGAGGAAGAATGGGAAACATTCCTCAAGATGCTGACCCAGGGGAAAATTCTAGGAAGCCAGGTTTAAAAATAAAAATATAGGGGAAAAAACTGAAAACCTAAGTCTGACACTAGAAAAAGCACAATGAAAGGAATGGAAGGGGATAGGAAGAAGAGACTAATCAAAATCCAGAGATACTATTCTATTATCTAAATATTCAGTTTTTGACAAATCCTAAGACATGCAAAGAAACAGTTGATCATTATACTGGAAAAAAGTAAGCAATTTAAATAGCTTTTCAGAGATCTCAGAACTTAGTAAAGATTTAAAAATCACCTATTATAAATGTTCAGAGAACTAAATAAAACAATATAGAAGTTATTTTTAAAGATGACAATGATTCATCTTTAAAGCAACTAAATTGAGCTGAAAAGTATAATCACTGAAATAAAATTTCCATAGGAGGCATTCAGGAGCAGAGTTGAGCAAGCAAAAGAAATAATCAGCAAACTTTAATATAGATCCTTTGAGAACATTAAAATTCACCAAACAAAAATCATAGAGATGAAGAATACCTTAACTAACTTAAAATTTTACTAAAGGGGTTCAACAGCAGAATAGAACAACCAGAAGAAATTATCTGTGAACTCAGGTTAGAAAAAAATTTAACCAAGGAAAAAAAAGGGAGTAAATGATTAAAGGAATATTAAAGAAACTATGGGATATCAATAAGAAGACCAATTTATAGAGTTTGGAAATCCTAAACAAAAGAAAGAAAAGATTAGAAAGCTTACTCAAAGAAATAATGAGTGAAAACTTCTCAAATCCAGGGAAGAAAAAGGGCCAAGAAACCCAAATAAGATGACCTCAAAGATCTATACTGAGATATGTTTTAATCAAATTGTCAGAGTTAAAGAGAACATTACCAATAACAAAGTGATTAGTCACATACAAGCGAATCTCAATAAAACTATCCATGGTTACAGAAAAAGACCCCAAAAGGTCATGAAAGGAACAAAAAGTCCAACAAAACAATGCTATTTCTCACAAAACTGTCCTCCAAAAGACAAAGAAGAGTAAAGACTTTCACAAACAAAACAAAAGCCAAGGAAGTTCATCACCACTAGATGGATCTTATAAATAAATAAATGAGTTCTTTAAGTAGAAACAAAAGGATGCTAAACAGGGATTTCAAGGTGGTTTTCAAGAGATAACTAGCCCTAGTTTGCTTCTCCAGGGAGTGGAAACCAAGTAACAATAAGTGTGTAACTATTTGAGGAGATGAGGGACTATAGGTGAGCCCTGGAAGTTGATGGCACAGTCTAAAAACCTCTGGAGGGAATATGAGCATTGTAAACGTTCCTTAACCTGTTTTGTGAGAAAAGTGGGACACAGCCTGCTTTCCATCATAACTCATTTGGTGACAACTGAGAGGCATGACAAGAAGCAGCAGCTGCAATCAATAACCTTGCCCACCATACCTGGTAGATTCCGATCTTAAAGAACAGGTGGGAGATGTTTCCAAGAACCTTGGCTAAGAAGAATTTTTGACCCGTTTTCTTTTCTCCATCTGTTCTTTTATTATTACTTTTTATATCTCACCATTTTCTCTTACTTTTGTCTTATTCTGTGTTTATTCTTTAATTGGATTTTTCTTTTTTCTAATTTTTCCCTCTTGATTTGTATTTATATAATTTTCCCTTTTTTGTTCTGCTTTTTATTTTATCTATATTTCCTCCTCCTCCTCCTCCTTCTCCTCCTTCTCCTCCTCCTTCTTCTTTTTCTCTCACAACAATATGGTATTGGCATAAAGTAGACATATGAGCCAATGAAATAGACTATAAATAAACTTACACATAAACAATAAACTTTGATGAGTATGCCAAGAATACACAATGGGGAAAAGATAGTCTCTTCAACAAATAATGTTGGGAAAATTGAATATCCACATTCAAAAGGTTGAAAATGGAAATTTTCTCATGCTGTATACAAAAATCAATTCAAAATTGATTAAAGACTTAAACATGAAGTCTGAAACTACTATAATAAAACATAGGGGAAATATTTATGACATTGTTCTTGGTAATGACTTCATAGACATGAAGAAATGAAAGGAAATAAGTACCAGAATGAAAAGGCAACCAATAGAATGAGAGGAAAATATTTTCAGACCTTATAAATAATAAGGGGTAAATATCTAAACTACATAAGGAACTTCTATTAACTCAATAGCAAGAAAAGAATGTAATGGGCAAAAGACCTAAATATGCATTTTTTCAAAGCAAACATACAATTGGTCAATGTGTTTATCAAAAAATGATCAATGTTTATCAAAAATGCTAATTATTATGGAAATGCATATCAAAACTGCAATGTGATATTACCTCATACCTGTTAGGTTGTCTATTATCAAAAAACAAAAGATATAAATTCTTAGCAAGGATGTAGAAAAAGTTAGAAC